CCAATGCTCTTGGATAATCTCAGCTCTAAGTTAGTGTTAGTTTTCCTTTGCATCTTTTGTGCTGATTAGTGGTAAAAGAGGCCTCAGAAATTCAAATCTAGATGCCAGTATCTATGAAGTCAGAGAACCTTTCAAACTCAACCTGAAGTGTGTCCAGGTAACAGCCCAGGAAACCCTGCGTTTGGTGATGAGAATAACAGTAATCATGACGGATGATTACAGTTGTTGTACTTTGAATAAATGGGGAAATGTGGAAGAAAGAATGAAAATGAGAAGGCAATGTACAGGAGGGGAGAAAATATTTGCAAATCATATATCTGAGCAGAGTCAAGCATCCAGAATGTTACCCAAAGTTCAATACTTGTCCCCATGGCTGAATCAATACGAATGAAGTACAAAGACATGTGGTTTGCGAAAAAGGAAAGAGAAGTTTATTAATTTGCTGGCAAATGAGGAGGATGGTAGAGTAGCATCTCAAAGACTGCCATCCTGTCTCTGAATAGAAAAATGGGGCTTTTTAAACGGGGGGGTGTTTGACAGTTGGGCTCAGGTGGAGCCAACCAAATGTACATCAGTGAATAGACAGACAACCTGTGGTATATACTGAAAATAGGTTATTATTGAGCCATCAAAAGGAATGAAGTACTGATACGCAAGGTAGGTGAAACTCAAATCACCAGGCTAAGTGAAAGAATCCAGATACAAATGGTTACTTATCGTAGGGTAGTACCATTTGTAGGAAATATTCCGAACAAGTCAATCCACAGTGACGGAAAGCAGATTCATGGTCACCAGGGACTAGCGGTGGGAAGAATAGGGAATAACTGCCCAATGGGTATGTGGTTTTATTTGTGGGTGATGAAAATGTTTTGGAACTAGATAGAAATATGGTTACATAATACTGTGAATGTAGTAAATGCGATGGAATTATCCACTTCGAATGGCTAATTTTATGTTTTATGAACTTTACCTCAACAAAAAATTCTCATTTTATAAATCGAATCTTCTCTACTCATCAAGAACCACAAAAAGTTCCATGACCCTGTAAAACCTTCCCAGAAGATATAAGTAACACTGATATTTCTCTTTTCTTATTAGCTCATGTTTAATGCTCCTGGCCTTTGAGTATGCCTATTGAACACCTTCTAGAATCCCACAGTGGGTGTCGAAAGGGCTGGGCAGACGGGATACAAGAGAGTAGGGCGGAATGAGGATGGACTACGGGAACCTAAGCATGCAGGCCCCTCCCCAAAGACATTATTTACATTTTTAAAAAAGGTCTTTTAAAAAGCCATTGTGCAGGGCAAAGGCAATATATGTAACCTAAACATTTGTACCCCTGTAATATTCTGAAACAGAAAAAGAACTTATTGCAAATATAATAAAATAGTCTAATATTTTTTAATATTTACATTTTTTTTTTTTTTTTGTAGAGACAGTCTCACTATACTGCCCAGGCTGGTCTTGAACTCCTGGCCTTAAGCAATCCTCCCACCTTGGTGTCCCAAAGTGTTAGGATTACAGATGTGAGTCATCATACCCAGCCAACTCAGTCTTTTGAACTCCTGAGGCTTGTGTTCTAGTTTCAGCCACATTAATCACCAGCCTTTCTTCTTATGGCTCAAAAGACTGGATTGAACCAGATCCACTACGACATTACTTCCATCCCTAACATCATGTAATCCTATGATTCTGAGTTACATACTCTGGAAATGTATGTAGTGCAAATACATTTTTCCAGATTGTGGCTTTCTTTTTTAATCTCTTAATGGTGTCCTTTGATAGACAAAAGTTCTTAATGGTAATAAAGTCCAATTGTCAATTTAAACAAAGCCACTGTGATTGGCCAAGAATGAAAACATTTAGTGCTGTTTTGGTTTCCAAGACAGTAGTTTGTGAACACTGATATAGATCTGCCTCTTTCTACATAGGAGGAGAAAGAGATCCAGAAAGATGAAATGACTTACCCACTGTTGTGAGAGCAAATATGAATTAGAAAGAAGAGATTTAATTCTCCCTGTTTAAAATAAGGGACAAGACTTCCCCTGCCTGCCTTTTCTTAGAGCATCTACCTTGGAAAACTTGTTCTTTCTCTGTCTCTTTGAAATGCATATAAATCTTTTTAAAAGCTAATAAACCTCCTACCACCTTTATGACCCAGGATTGTTTTTCTCAAGGGCCTCAGAACCATCTCTTTGAAATATCATCATCATTCCTGTGAGAGGGTATGATAGGAGCTCAGCTGCAGCAGGTGCCTTGCTCCAAAACTGTCTCCTGTCATTTGATGTTTCCTTTGGATACAGCCAACGAACTAACACAGAGGGTCACCCCAATTTAGAATGAACAATGTGTGACAAATGGTGCTGTTAAGTCCACTTATTCAAGAGCTAGTTATTTTTTAGCACCGAATGGGTTGCATCTGTTTGGCTATATAAAAGGGCAAGATTTCTTTCTGTCTTTGCAATCTCTTTAGCAGACTGCCTGTGATGCGCATCACATTCTGGTTTAATGCTTGTTCAGTAATAAAACTGTCTTCTTTCTACTTTTTGTAGAGAAGTTTTCCGGTTTGGCAGGAGATTTGGTTTTAGTTATACTTCCTCAACAAGGTCACAACAAAGTCACAAAAGGACCCACCCAACTTCTGGCCTGGTACTCTTCCCATTGGCCCACGGCCTCTCGGTGGCACACTGTTTTATGTCTGCTATTGTTGACTGTGTACCTCTTTTGTCTGGTGAGTCTGTAAGCTCCTTGAAAACAGCACCTGTGACTGACACATTTTCTGTTACTTTCTCAATGGCCAAGAAAGTGCCAGGGATACGGCAGATAGTCAATAAATGCGAGTTGAATCACTGAACTTGGAAGAATTAAGTCAAGTGGATTGTGATCTTAACTGGCTAACAAGATGAAGCAAGCAAACAAACAAACAAAAACCCTGGATGAAATGGAAAAGAATGCAGGGTTGTGTAGCATGGAGAATAGGAAGAATTCTGAACTTGGGATAAGAAGATCTGGCCTTGAATACTAGTTTTTCCCTGGTTTTAGCGAAGTCATCATCAGTTTTCTTAACTGTAAAGTAACAAAAAATATATACCATTTATTGTGTAGGATTACTGGGATGACGATCAAATGAGGATATGAACATTCTTTCTAATAATGACGGCTACCACCAACACAGTACTTATGATGTACTAAGTACTGTTTTAAGCATTTTCCATATATTATCAACGTATTTAACCCTCACAAAAAACTCTCTACAGATACGAAAACTAGCCATAGGAAGTTAAATAACTTGCCTAAGTTAGACAGCTAGTTTACAGCAGAGCTGGGATTCTAGCTAAGATAGTCTGGCCCCAGGTTCAGTACTATCCTGCATGCACAGGAGGGACAATTTAGCTTATCCCAGGGCCCAAAGGAGGTTTCCAGAAGGGGTCAAGAGTTGGCCACGTTCATAGTAAGTTCTGTGCAGTTGGTAACACCATTTTGCAAATTTGGTCATTGAGTTTTGGAGACATGAAGCCATTTGCCTGAGGTCACCCCGTCAGTGAGCAGGGAAACCAGGATTTGAGTCCTAGGTGGAAAGTGAGAAGTCAGCACAATTTCCAAACGGTCCCATTTGTGTGACACAGAGAGGATGATTAAGAAGAAGTTAAAGTTCCTTACAGATTCCTAGAGACTGGCCTAAAGCAGGTGGGTGGTGACAGTGCCGGGGATCGGAGCTGGGGCCCACAGTCAGCTACGCCTGGGCACGAGAGTGGCCCAGGGGTTAAAGCTCCCTGGGCCTCCTCTGCGGACTTGGGGTGATAACAGCAACAACTGTGAGACGCAACATTTATTGAGGACTTACTGTGCAGATTCACTGCCTCAATTTTCCTCATCTCTGAATTGGGAATAACAACAAGAATAGTAATGAGAATAAATGGGATTGGGAATAATAATGAATCATTACAATAATAACACGTGATATACAACATTTACTGAGTATTTGCTGTGTGCCAGGTCCCCTTGCCAGAACACCACACACGTTAGACAAGGCACAGCTCGACTGGGTCCCTGGCAACTCTGGGGCGCTGTCTCCCATTCCTCTCCTCTGCCGGCCTCCTGAGACCGCTCCTCAAACACAACAAGTGCTGTCTCTCCTCACAGCCTCTGCACGAGCCCTGCCCTCTTCCAGGGGCACCTTTCCCCAGACACCCAACGGGCTCACTCCCTCACCTCTCCACCTCACCTCCTCCGTGAGACCTTCCCTGACCAGGCTATTTAAAATCCAGGGCCCAAGCAGTGCCTGGTGAGCAGCGGACAGTCAGCAATCAGTACGTGCTCGGTAATGGCAGTGGCCCGGTGCAAGCTGTCCTTTGGGGTTGGCCCCTCTTGAGCAGCTGATGTATTTAACAGACCTGAGGTGACTGAGTGCAAAAGCCCTGAGACCCAGGGAATGTGCACGCCAGACAAGGACGCGGCAGGGCAAAGGCCCTGAGGGGACAGGTGTGTGGCCTGTTTGGGAAGGGTGGAGAGACCGCCGTGGGCCAGAGCCCAGCGTGTGAGGGGAGCGCAGTAGCCAGTGGGAGTCTGTGGGCCAAGCAGAGGCTTTGGGAGGCTGGGGTCTCTCTAGACCACCAGAGACGCACAGGACCTGGACCTTTCTGGGTTTTAAAGACGTTACTTCTAGCCCTTGGTGACAAACTAGTTCAGGAACCGAGACAAGGCCATGGAGGTGGATGGCCCAGCCGCACCGCCAGAGGGTCCTGGACACACTTATTCATTGAGATGCTCAGGAGCATTTAGTGAAGAGCCTTGTGCACCTGTGCTGGACCGGTGGGCGGAGTCCGGCCGAGGCCCCGCCCCGAGAGTCCTAGACACCCCGCTCCCCACAGCACGCATCCGACCCTGCCCCCTCCCTGGGGCATAGACTCAGCCAAGCAGGGGGAGGACAGTCTGAAATCATCGCCTTTATTTCCTGGCAGGCCTTGAGGGCAGGTCGGGAAGGGGCGGGTCCTACAAGCCTAGGGGGCGTCAGGGCCAGCTGCCTGCGGTTCCACGTCGTCCTTGTCCCCGGCGTGCGGGAACTCAGGCCTGGCCTGCGGGAACCGGGAGTCAGGTACGGAGCCAGGTTCTCGGGCACCCTCGCATCCGCCCACTGCGCCGCTGTCTACCAGGCTCCCTCTGCCGTGTCCCCGCGCCCCGGGGACGCGCTGCGCTCGCGGACCCCTCTCTCAGGGGACCTCCCAGGATCCTGCCCACTCCGCTCAGTCTCTGCCCGCCGCGCCTCGCCTAGGCTCCCCGGGTTCCCTACCTCTCCTCTGCCAGCCCCGGCCTCTGGGGTGCTCCGGACCAGCTCCCCGAATTTCCCCAGCCCTGCCTTCAGCCTGCAGAGAAGGGGCAGAGGGGAGAGCAGGAAAAAGAGAGGGAGAGTCCAGGGGGAGTTGGGAGGAAGCCACCGCGGAGACACAGAGACCCACGCGAGAGAGGAAGAGGCTGGGGTGGGGTGGGGTGGGGGTGGACGTGGGGGGCGGCGAGGGCGGTTGGGGGCCACGGACCCATGCCCTGCTCCTTGCCCCTTCCCTCCTCGCCCCGGGCTCCCTTCGGCCTCTTACCCATGCTTCCCTGCCCGGGCGCCCTCGACCTCAACCTCGGGCCGCGAGCGCAGCCTCCGCTCCGCGTCCTGCAGCTTGGCGCCCACCAGCTTCCCTGCGGGCGGGCGGGAGGTCAGGGGCAGGCCCGCCCGGCCGAGCCGGCCTCCGCCCCCGCCCGCCCACCTCGCGCGGGAGGCTCACTCTCTGTGAGCAGCTGCTCCTTGCTCCTCTCCAGGGCACGGATCTCTCGCTCCAGTCGCCGCTGCAGCACCTGCCAGGACAAAGAGGTCATCTGTCCATCTGTCTGTCCTCCTGGCCACACTGCTCGCCCCTCTCCCTTTGTCCCTCGCCAAATCCTCGCCTACGTTAGGTCATTCATTCATTCATTCAACTATTTATTAACTCAACGTGCAGTTTCTGCTGTGGCTGGAGACCCAGTCCCCGTGTACCTCTCAAACTTCATCTCTTCCCACTCTACTCATCCTCCACGCCCGTTTCCTGTTCCTCACACGTTTCCGGCACAGGTGAGCCTCCTGGGACTTTACATTGGGGATACTTGCACCCAGATACCAGCGCGGCTTCTTCCCTCACTTCCTTAACATCTGTGTGCAGGTGGCACCTGCTTAAAGGCCTTCCCCACTGACATTTCATCATCTGGCCACTTATTTTCTCGGTGAGAGTCTGGGTACACCTCCCCCTGCCCCCAACCAGCTGGGACAGCAAAGACTTGGCCCCTTTGGTCCACCACTATCTCTGCCTGCCTGGAATGCTGCCTGATGCACCCGTCAACCATAGCTGAATGAAGGAATGACCTGACCACGGCTTTCTCAGGGTTCCCATTTGCCACTGCAAGGTGAACACAACACTCTAGGCGAGCAGAAGGAAAGTGGGATCAGCAAGGGCTACTCCAATAGCCTGGGCAAGCAATGCTGGATGTGGCCCGGTGGGGGCTAAGGGTGAGAAGTGGGCAGATTTGAGGTCAAAGCCAAGGGACTGAGTAGGTGAGAATAAGAAAGGAATGAAGGACTATGCTGTGGCCTTGGGCCTGAGCAGGGGTGGACACTGGGCTGGTCGTGGAGACACGGAAGCCAGGGGAGGACTGGCTTTGGTTGAAGGCGATGATAATGGCTCACGTGGAACTCCCAGAGGTCCTTCTGCTGGCCCATCAGATCCTCTAGCTGTTCCTCGACATCCGACCTGGGGGCCGACATCCAGGGATGAAAGGACACATGCCAGGACCAACACCTGGCCCGGCCATGTCTGGGGCTCCTCATGCACAGGCCTCCAAATCCCTGCCTGGTGCTCTCTCTGCTGGGAGCCCCTCCATGGAGATTACCCTGTAAGCCTTGGTTCCAACAACTCCCCTTCCAACAAAATCTCCCTGATGCAAGCCCACTCCCACTCTCCACCCAGTGGCCCACCAGGCCCCAGGCTTGGGAGTTAACCCAGAGTCCTCCCTGTGGTCTGAGAGTTATGGGAAAAAATTTGCTCCCTGGACTCCTGCAACAGGTGCTTCCTGGGAAGGGAAAGACAACCCTCAGTTATATTCTCTGAATGACCCCCTACTGCTTCCAGCAGGCGTGGGGGGTGGGACAACTGGTCACACCATTCACCTTTCTCCTATTGAACATGAACCTTCATGGGCCTCTGTCAAGGCCATCACCCTGTTCATCCCGGCCCCCATTAAGTCATGTCTTCCCAAGAAAGCTTCGTGAGGGGTGTGGTAGTTTAGCATCACAGATTCTTAAGTCCAGGCTGGAAGCCTGGATCTGCTACTCCACTGTGACCCTGGGCAAGTTACTTAACCTCTCTGGGTCTCAGTTCCCTCGTATGTAAAATGGTGGTAGTGATGGGAGGGTGACATTTGACCTTACCTCCTATAATTGTGAGGATTAGGTAAATAAACAAATATAAATGCTTATCAGACAGTGTGTGTATTGTGGTTAAGTATATACACACATTAACTATCTATCATCGGGTTTCTCTACACAATTAAAGTCATGGTACACCAGGACCTGAGACCTCTGGTCACATGAATGTACTAAGGTTCAGAGGGTGGAAAAATGAATGGATAGATGGCTGGATAGACAGTTAATTGGACGAATGAGTGGCTGGCTGGAGAGGGATGATAGCTGGTTAGAGAAATGAGTGGAGGGATAATCGTTGGATGGAGAAATGAAGGAAGGATTACAAGAAGGATAGATGGATATCTGGATGGATGGATGGATGAAGAAATGAATGGCTAGACGGTTGACTGGAAGGATGGACAGAGGATGAATGTATGGTTGGATGAATGAAAGATGATTAGATGGAAGGTTGGAGATAAGATGGCTGTCTGGCTGGATGCCAGGGTTGGATAGATGAATGGACGGATGAATGGATGAATGGGTGAGTGGCTAGATGGGCAGGTGGATGGATGGGTGGGTAAATGGATGACTGGGGGCCCAAAATAAGTGGACAAATAAATAAATGAGTGGGCAGCAGAGGAGCTGGATGGCTAACAGGAAAAGATTGAGAATAGCACCAGTGGATGGACTTTATTTGATAAATAAATTAGCAATGAATGACTAAATGAATGAATTAATCTTAACACCATCACCTAATATCAGAGATGATCAGAGAACTCATTTGTCTGGTTGCTCTATTTTATAGAAAGGGAAAATGAGGAGTGTGTGTCCAAGATTCATTTCCCTGGCTCTTGCTCCCTCCTCCTCTAGGCTGGGGGCTGAGGTGGGAAGAGCTGGGGCAGGACCTCTTACCTCTGAGCCTCACTTTTCTCCTCTTGCAGCTGGAGGATCCTCAGTGCCTCTGTGGGGAAGGAACCCAGGGGGCCCTGTGAGAGCTCTTGGAGAGTCAGTGTTGGGCAGAGGTCATGACCCCACAGCATGTCGGGCATCGGAGGGCACTGGGAGGACTTGGGTGTTTACCCCAGGTGAGGTGGCAGCCAAGGGAGAGATTTGAGCAGAGAGGGAAGCACCCTGACTCAGGTTTCAGTGGGATCCCTCTGGCTGCTCTGGGGAGGACATGCTTTTGTGGGGTGGTGGGGAAGGATAAGGAAGACACAGCAACTGATGAATACCTTTCTTTTTGCTCAAGATCTCCTCTAGGTGCACTTTCTCTCCATTCACTGAAAAACACAATGACACTTTCAGCCCCCAGGGGCTACATCTTGTGTCCCCACTGCAACTTCTTGTAAGGGGAAACGTCACACAGAAGGGGTGTTACAGCCCCAGGAGAGGTGAGGTGGGTCTTCTTGCCATCTCTGCACCCATCTCCCATGAGGACCCCCCTGTTCCAGCTTCTCCCCCTCCATCCCCACACATTCCCTGTCAGTGCTGAAGAAGTGAAGATACTGAAGCGTGTACAAGGTTTGCACTGAGGGGACAGATGAATATAAAGAAATAAATACATTGTGTCAGGTGGAAATAAAGGCTCTGAAGAAACAAATGAAGCCAGAGAGTGAGAGTGAGCTGGAAAGGGTGGGAATCTATAATTAGATGAGACCATCTAGGTAGGTCTGTTGGGGTGAAGTTTGAGTAGAGAGCTGAGAGATGACATGGGATAGCAGGAGGCAATCCAGATTATGTGGGCTAAGAGCACTGTGGGCAAGGGAACAGCCTGTGCAAAGGCCCTGGGTGGGCACAGGAGCATCAGCAGGGGTCATGGGATCTCTGGGTCCTTCTTTTGACCCCACTTACAGGATTCTAATTCCCTATGCAGGGCCTCCCAGAGAGCTTGGGTCTCTCCAAGTTCCTCGCTTGATTTCTTCTTCACTGGGCCAAAGAAGGGAAAAAGACACCGTGAGTGCAGTCTTTAGTCTCGCTGTTCTTTTGCAACTGTGACATTACACATTCATCTTCCAACAACTCTGGAGGGGCCTAGATTTTGTAGATGAGGAAATGAAGGCATTCAAAGTCCAGGCCCTCTCTGCTGGCCCCAGCTGGCCAGTGTATGCCCCCAAGTTTACCTTGCTGAATCTCATTAATCCGGTTAATCAGGTCCTCGATCTGTGGCTCCAGGCTTCCCTCTGAAGAAAGGAAGGAAGAAAGAATGAGCTAGGAAGACAGATGCCTGGCTGTCCAAGGCAGATGGAGGAGGGGTGGGTGACAGCGCTGTGTCTCTGCTGCCATCAATCAACCTGCATACGCTGTGCCCCTGCTGTGTGCTGGGCTCTGAAAGAGGCCCTGGCAAGGCTGGCATTTTGGCGGGGGGAGCTGGACACTGAACAAAGATATATGAATCCATTCAGGTGGCAGTAACTGCCGTGAAGAGAAATAAAAGTGAGGCAAGGTGTTCAAGAGCAAAAGGGTAAAAGGTGCCTCTTGAGATATGGAAAGACTCCAAGTCAGGTGGGAAGCAGGCCCTGCAGCTCTGTAGGGTGGAGAGTATGGAAGGGGAATCACTCCAGGCAGAGGGAACAAGCGCACATCCCCCACAGTGGGAGTGGTGAGGGGGCTGGTGTGGTTCAGTACAGTGAGCAAGTGGAGAGCTGTAGGAGGGGAGGTGGGGAAAGTGGGACGTGAGACCACTCAGGGCTTCTTGGGCCATGGTGGAAGCTTCCAGATGTAATTCTGAGTGTGGCGGGAGCCAATGGAAACCTCCCACCTGCCCCATTCTGTCAAAAGCCAGGCAGGGCTGGTTGTCACTTCTGTCAACCTGGACTCTGATATTGGCCTCATCTGAGAAATGGGGGAAATGCTGCTTCCATGTTGTGGGTGGAAGCCTGCAAGTTCTCCAGGGACAGGGAGATCACTGTCCCTTTAGGGAGTCACCTCTAACTTCTCCCAGTCCCTGTTTCAGAGCTTGGTATGGAGAAGGCTTCCTCCTCATCCCTCTCTGGCTTCACGGTTGGCAACACAGAGCTGGGGCAAAGAGCTGTCCAAACCCTTGCTGGATCTCACTGCCAACCTCAAAGACACTTTGGAGTTAACCTCAGGCCCTGTGTTTTCCAAGGTCACCAACTCCAGCTTCTGTGAGTTTCAGGACAGTGGTGCTCTCCACGGTGCTGATTAGAACAGACAGAAATCTCTGAGGGTCTTTGTTTTACTGGAGATGGTCAGTGGGTCACTATGCATTTCCATTCCTGCAATTTGTCTACCCCTTTAGCCTAAACAGCAGCCCCAACACACTTCTTCTGCGTGCAGCCACAGAGTGGGGGAAGGGGAGATTCCCTTTTGTTTGGAACAGACTGATGGATTATAGAATTTTAAGCTAAGGATGGGCTGGGGGGTCTTACCTCAAACCTGGCCAGCACTGCCCCAGCCCTGATATGGGTACTAGATACAAGCTGGCTTCCAGCTCTCCCTAAACAAGCAAAGTAAGGTGCAAAGCCATCTGCATTGCCACTTGTCATTGGTATATAAAAAGGGAGGACAAAGAATACGTACCCATGCATGTATTTTTTTAAAAAATCTCTGCAAAGATAGTGAAGAATTGAAAAAGAGTTGCTGCTTGCCTGTGGGTCAAGGAAATAGATGACTGATGTGTACATGTGTGGAGGGGATAGGTTTTTCCATCGCCATAAACTTCTTGAATTTTGAACTGTGGGGCTGTATTTTTAGTTCAAAGAATTAAACTGTATAAGAGAGAGAAAGTACAGGATAATTTCCTAAGGTTGTTTAGTTTGAACCACATCTGTCTGGCTTGAAACCTTAAGCCAAGGCTCAGACACAAGAAGACACATGACCTTTCTGCAGCTTTATCACCATAGCCAGCAAGTCTTCTGTCTTCTTTGAAGACTTGGCCTGCCCTGTGGAGATGAAAACCAGAATTACAGGACCCAGTGACAGTGAGAGTGGACTGAGAAGGGAGTAAGGACGTTTCAGTGGGCTTTTCAAACACCCCTGGGCTGGGGCTGAAAATGGGCTGAGGGACAGGTTTCCAGCCAGAGCAGGGCCCCTGCAGAAGCCCTGTACCTCGTCCCAGAGGTTTGTGGTGTGTGCTGGATGAATCAGGACCCCTAAGGGTCAGCTTCTTCCTGAAGGGTCAAAAGATACCACAGATGTCCCCTTAATGAAACTCAAGGGTGAGAGAAGGGGATGCACTTTTGCTGTCACTGCCGTTCAAGATCATTATGAAGTTCTAATCAATACAATAGGGCAGGGAGATTTCATAAGCATTTCTTTAAAATAATTATAGCTCATCAATTACAAATTCTTAATGAACTGATAGATCTAGGCAATAGTTATAAATGGTTGCTAACATTAAGAAAAAACAACTAAATATTATGAGCCTCTTGATGGAAAAATACAACACTACCAGTGAAGGAATTTTGTCCAAAAATCCCTACACAAAACAAAAAAGGGAGTCTCATTAAGCTTCGATATTTAAATACTAATTCATAAAAAACACAAAGGGCAGATAAACATGTTAAATGACACCACTGGGGGTGCAATCGACATCATGCAGGCTGTGGGAAACTCCATACGAAAGCCTGGTTTCTTCAATAAACAAATTGCAAAAAAGAAAATGAGGGAGAGGGAAAATCCTATAGATTAGAAAAGTCCTGAGACATATATCAACCAATTGCAATGAATAGATTGTATTTAGATCCTGATTCAAACAAACACAATTTCACCATATATACTTCTCTACATATTTTAACATGAGCCCATGCTACTTTTAACGTTCAAATGACAACAACAACAAAACCCCAGGAATATGTTAACTTCTTAAAAACATCTTAAACTCTTAAAATCCATGATTAAAGGTCAAATCCCAGTGGCCCACTACTTTCCAAGGAAAATTGGACAGTGAAGAGGAAAGGCAGCTAACAGAACACATATGATAGCCAAAAAGTTAATGACGAAATGTTTACCCACAATAGGATACAGTGAAAAGTTCCTCTCTCAGACCCTAAATTCCTCAATTCCCTTCCTCAAAGGCCACTAACACTCCAAGCTATTTGTGGGTACATGGAGATAATTCAGTTCATATACAAACATACGTCCTGCTTTTTCTATGTACGTGGTAGCATGTCATGCATGATGCTCCACATCTTGTATTTTTCATTTGACAATGTATTCTGGTGATCTTTATGTTCTTTCTAGTGGCTGCATGGTGTTCCACTGCATGGATGTACCATAATTTAAGAGCAGTGTCATACTGATGGATATTTAGGTTGTTTCCCTTATTTTGCTGTCACAAACAATGCCACAATGAGCATCTGTATTCATATTCTTGGGCTGTCATAACAAAGTACCACAAACTGGGTCTTCCCTCTGTGTCTGTGTTTCACATGCTGTTCTCTCCCTGTATCTCTGTGCGTTGGTATTTCCCTCTTCTTACAAGGACACCAGTCACTGAATTACGGTCCACTCTAATCCAGTATGACCTCATCTTAACTAATTATATTTGCAAAGACCCTGTTTCCATAAAGTCACATTCTGAGGTTCTGGTGGACACGAATTTTGGGGGGACACAATTCAACCTAGTACACCATTCTTGGACATTCTTCTCTGTGCTTGCAATGGAATGTATCTATTGGCTACAGCTAGATTACTCCCTAGAAGCTACCTACTGGATCAAAGGGTGTGTGTATTACTAAATTTGACTGATATTAGAAAATTGCCTTCCCCCGTTTCAGGCTCACAAAGGAACTCTTCTTCATACTCTTACCAGCCAAGTATGTTTTCAACCTTTTTCATTTTTTACCAATCTGATAGGCAAAGGCAGTGTTTCATTTGAAACTTTTTGATAATAAATATCAAAATCTTATTCATCTCCCCTTGATCAGAAATTCCACTCCTAGGAATGCATCTCAAACAAATAATTAAATATGATGGGAATGATGTTCACTGTTTCACTGTTTGTAATTTTAAAATAAGGAAGTAACCTGAAGATACCTTAGGGGATTAGTTAATTACAGCACGTTTGTAGGA